AGAGATTCAAGGGGAGAGAAAAGTCACAGGTGGCCTGAAGGCTTCTAGCTGAACAACTGGGGAGTACATAATGAGATTCAAATTGAATTTGCTGAGTCTGAGGTGCCTTTAAGGCATCCTGGTAGAATTGGTCAATGGGCACAGTGGAAATACATAGCAACCCAGGACACAGACCCACATATTCATGACAAACACAAATCAATCTGGTTTTACAGGAGTTCATAATATCAACCCTACCAATTTTAAATAGTGTGTGTGTGTGTGTGTGTTGTGTTGTGTGTGGTGGGATGGGATTACGCAGAAAGTTTCTTTGATTATTGTCCAAAGTCACTGCAACTGATGTAAAAGCTCTGTAAAAACTCTCTGTTCTTTTTTTTAAACATTAATGCCTCAACCTAAAGAACAGCTTTAGTCTTATTTTAAACAATACTGATTTAAAATTGGCAAATTTAAAACTAGACTGAATATGGAACAAAAAATTATTGAAAAGTAACTATCAATCAACCCATCAATGCTCCCAGTGAAGAACAAACATCATCACAAGAATGCCCAATATTTTTGGTGTCTATTATATTTGGAAAAAGATTTACACAGGATAAGACATTTGATTTATAACATAACCTTGGAAGGCACACTAATTTTTATTGCTAATTTACAGATCTAAGGAAATTGAGGTTCCGAAAAGCTAAACAACTTTTTCTGTTGTTTCACAGCTGGGAAATGCCCAAATCGAAACTTGAGCCCTGGCTTGCTGACTCTGCAGCCAGAGTTCTTTCCCTCACCCTTCAGCGAGCTGCATCAAATTAATCAATAAATAACTTGTTATTGCCTTTCCTTTCTCTTCCTCCTCCTACTTCTAATCAAGATATTTTAAGTTTTGAATTCAAAATTTATCTCATTCTTATGGCAAAGTAGGTTTGAAGTCATCTCATGGAAATGTATACAAGTGCCTGCGTGCTACAATGGCTGAGTCAGAGCCCAGTGCTCTCAGGCAGTCCCCGCTGTGGAGACACAGCCTGCTGTCGCACTGGACAGAGAGAGCCTCAGCCCTGGCTGACTCACAGCCCTATGTCTGTCACTTGGCAGCTTTTTCCAGTAGCATATCCTTCCACTATCTTCTTCAGTCACCTTTCTCAACTGTATAAATCCTGCCTGATAAATATGTGTGCGATTCAAGCCCACACTGCTTTTTGGAACCTCATTCAATTGCTACCTCTTGCACACACACACAAAAATAATAATAAAGCCATTTTTGAGTGTGCTTCTTTCTTAATACTGTTCTCTAAAAATGTATCACAATGGCATTATCATTCGTTAACTCCATGATTCAGATTTAAAGCAATTCCATATCTCTTTATTTGCCTCTTGTGTAGTCTGCACTCACCTTTGTTCTCAGAGATTTATAGATAATTTTCCCCATATAATGCTACTCAAAAGTCACGTTTATTTTTCAGGTTTTTTTAAAAGCTGAGTCTGACTTGAAAGCACTTTTTTACGGGTTCAGTTTCCTTACTCTTGAAGGTTAAAGTGACTTTCTTTGGCTTCCCAATTTATTTTAGAAAGCCATTATAACTGTGACAGAAGAAATCTAACCAAGATAGCACAGAAATATTCTGACCAAACTTAGTTTTTACTTTTGGTTAAAAGCTATTGCATGTTCGGTGCTACTTAAAAAAAATAAAGTTTCATTGAGATATAATTGAAAGAAATAAACTGCATATATTTAAAGTGTACAATATGACAAGTACTGCAAATGTATACACCAGTGAGACCATCATCGCAAGCAAGGGAACGAACGTATCCATCACTCCCACACTGCCAACTTTCCGTGTGTTACTTCAGAATCCCTCCTTTTCCTTTCTCTGCCATATTCTGGGAAGGAGGCCGAATATTGCTAAAGCATCAAATTCTCCCCAGTTTTTCTATAAATCTAACTTTAATAAAAATCACAACAGGAGTCTTAAAAAATGTGAAAAAATTTGTCTGTTTTAAAAGCACTTTAAAATGATATTTACAAATGAGGAAATAAGAAAAAGATGAACACATCAACATAAAACCAGGCAAAGTCCATAGGCAGAGAATGCTTATCCCCCTAAAAAGGCTAGTAAACAGAATGAAATCTAAATCTTACTAGCAATCAAATAAGTGACAATTAAAATTGAATATTCATTTACATTAATTTTTGGCAAAGATTTAGAAGACAATATGATGCTAAGAGTTTAAAGTAGGTTTTTGAAAGTAGACATTCACAGATTGCAGGGAAAAAGGACAGATTTACTTATAACTATTGCAATATTAAGTGTACATTATTTTTGATGTAGCAACTTGTCTAGAAATTAAAACTAAAGAAATAGTCAAATGAACAGCAACATCTTAGGAGCAATATAAATGTCTGTCAGTAAATTGGTTAACTATATAATGGTTCATTTATATAAAGAAATCATCAGAGGCCATTCAAATGGTAACATTTATCTGAATGAATTAAGTGAAAAGAAAAAGAGTGAAAGAAAAGGAAATATGTATAAAACAATTTCTTTTCTTTTGTGTACAAAAATAATCCAGTGTGTTTTTCAGGTATAGGAAGAACTCAGGAAAAAACTATGTAAAATTTAAGTAAAGTTTTCTCTGGGAATGGGAACAGAAAGAACAGTTTTGACCTTTTACTGTTTGCATATTTTACTAAAAAATATTTACTACTTTTAAAATTTCGAACGTTTTCATTTCATAACAATATGCATATATTCTTATTACATTTGTGTAGTTTTCTATGTCCCTCTAAACATATGCACTAACATGGATTGGCTCTGCATCCCCACCCAAATTTCATCTTGAATTGTACTCCAATAATTCCCATGTGTTGTGGGTGGGACTCAGTAAGAGATCATTTGAATCGTGGGCCAGTTTCCCCCATACTATTCTCATGGTAGTGAATAAGTCTCACGAGATCTGATGGTTTTATCAGGGGTTTCTGCTTTTGCATCTTCCTCATTTTCTCTTGCCACTACCATGTGGAAGTGCCTTTCACCTTTTGCCATGATTCTGAGGCCTCCCCAACCACGTGGAACTGCAAATCCAATTAAACCTCTTTTTCTTCCCAGTCTCAGGTATGCTTTTATCAGCAGCGTGAAAACAGACTAATACATGCACTAAGAACAAAATTCTAAAAAATCTGCTACAAAATGTTAGAGTCATTCTATAACCACAAGAAGTCTTGTAAAAAAAGAAATCTGTTCATCTGATTTTTCTAATTTTCATACAATTATTTGTTATAAGCTGTATAACAAAATATTTCGAATAAACTCCTTCTGTTTGAGTAAAATCAATATAAAACTTACTTAAGTAGTATAAAATAGTTGATCTCTACAATTTTTTTTCCAAAGCTGACAATAATAATGAAGTAAATACAGTCACTAGGGAGACTTCTGCTTCTTGTCTAAAGGACCCAGGTTTATGCTTGCTCATGAAAGAATGGCAAAACTGGACAAAGTGAATGAAACAACAGTTTTCAGACCTCAGGCAACAGTTAGCTTAGCATGGCGATTATAGAAAAGGAATGCAATGCGATGACGCCAGTGGTTGCCCCAGTATATAATGCTGGAGCGTTTCCAGGTCTCAACATAAGAAGAAGGTGTCCCTCACTGATCCCAAAAGTCTCCCTAAGTTGAAGAGATGGAGCTGACAATTCAGGGAGGTCAAGGTAGCTAGAATTTGCTGAACAGAGTGACAGAGAGGAGAAAGTGCCCCTGAGAGAGAACTCAGGGACATACAGGTCCCCTCTCGAGGTTTCAGCTGAGTATTGATGAGCCTGGGGAAGGTGAGAGTTCTGGGAAAAGGCTGGAGGAAGGAATGACAAAGACACAAGAGGAAATGTTTGTGGGTAATATATACATGAGTGCTATCTCGGTTTTGGTAATTTTGATATGTATACCTATATCAAAATTTACTAAATTGTATACTTCACATGTAGGTTATTTTATATATATGTATATATTTTTTTCCAGTGGAGTTTTAAAAATAATTTTCTAAAGACAAAAATGTATGGTGAAAATGAACTGATGGAATAGGATAATACTCAAATTAACCCTTTGTGTTAGCACAGCACAATTAGCATTGATTTACATTTACACCTCTTCACGTTGACAAAAAAGCAAGGATGCCACCAAAAATGCCTATATAATTTGTATACAAATGTGGCAAATTACTTTGAAAAATATTGGAAATTTTCCCTACTGGATTAAAGTTTTCCTAACATGTGACTTTTATCATGGCCTATTACCCTAAGAATTATAATTCACTAATAACACATAAGGCCATAGACCTGGATGTGCCCCCTCCCTCAATATAAATAATACTCAACATTTTTAGACGGTATATAAATGTTACACACTTCAAGAAGAGAAGTATGCCAAGAGAGGTGTAATAATGTATGAGATGGCGTCTAGGGAATTTAGAACAAGCCTTGGTTTAAATGAACATTAAGGGCTTAAGCGCTATTCTTCTGGTAAGACATTTACAGGAGAACGGGAAAGCCAGGTGACCATATTCTATAGGGCAGGCCTGAGCTTTATCTATTTCATGGTTGGATGTTGCACGTTCTCTGAATCAGCAAATCGTCAGTGGGAAAAATTTATCTATATTGACTGCTCTCAACCAGCTTATTTAAGATAAAATAGTACCTTGGCAGCCAGCTGAGGAGATTTTTTGGTACTGCATGGGTCTAAGTAATGTATTATTGATCTACAGTTAAACTGATCTGAAGGTCAGACTTCTAGGATTTCTCTCAGTCTCACATTCTGAATCCATTGTTGTCTTTTAGGAATGGCTATATCAGAGGTTCCTGATTCATCTTTAGGCAGAACAACAGGAGCAAATCTGGTATTACAGTATGTGGGCTGCAAATATAACAAAATTAATGCCTCTGTATTTTGTTGTACAGATTGTTCCTGAATTATGGTCCCATGGTCATGCTGCATTGCTCACTGGAAGTTTCTATAATGAGAATTTAAATAACCCACTTGTTTACACTGGAACTTAGTTCATAGGTTCTCATCATCATTTATTTCAGGCTTTTCAGGTGAAATATCCTGCCTATTTCAGCTTACAGCATTTTTATTTCTTATGCAAACATGTGCATATGTGCGTGTGTGTTTTAATCAATAAAATAACAAATTCTCAGCTTCTTGAGGACTATGCCAAAAAGCCTAAAGAACAAACCAGATTACAAATAGCACATTCTGTTCTGTGAATTGGGTTTTCAACCCATTATCAGACAATGCCATTTGGTTCTTTAAAATAAATCAAGGGGAATATTTCACAAGAAAGAGATTACTTCTTCCTATGCAAGTCAAAAATTGGAAAATAAATGAACACTTGAAGCCTACTGGAGCCCTCCTGTTTTCTCCCCAAAAAGATTACACTAGTCAAGGACTGGAGTGATATAAAGAAATAGTGTCATGTGTGAATTATTGGCTATCAAAAAGAACCTGTGGAGGAGACTTCATAAAAATAACGTCTAAGAAAAATCCCTTGAGAAATGGTGCTGAACTCTAGGAAAAGAAAAAAAAAAAAAGAACTATTTCTGTTTAACTGTAAGGACAGCTTCTTTGTTTCCTTAGCCAAACAGAGTTCTTGTGGTCTAGAAATGTTTCTGTCTACTACAGAGGTGGAATTACTGTGAGGCTAGGAAGGGTGAAGCTTCAGGGCCTCTCACTTGCATAAACACTTTTCTAAGGCATTGGAAAAGGGTCTAGGGGTGGGTTGGCATGCTCCTTCTCTTTGGAATTTTGCATGAGTGAGATATTTTAACTGCAGAAGTTTAAGATCAATGTCTACATATTAATTTTGCCTCTATCATGCTTTCCCTTTGGGTTAGGTGGCATTGGGTGACTGTGGTCTGCTTCGGGATCTGGCTAATTGGAAACTGTTAAAGATACACTTAGTTTCCGTTTGATGTGATAACATTCTTGTGGTTCTCAGTCTCTTCCATGTACCCTTAGGTTCTTGCTGGCTGTCCAGATGTAGCTTCCACGAACACTCATGATTAACATGGTGCTGGCAACATGAAAGTGCAAGCCTACAGATCACTGCAAAATCAATGTGCCCAGAGCTTCAGGCAACACAAAGTTGTGTGGAGTGAAGGAGACACAATGTTCAAAACTTATAAAGCCAGGAACTGGTCTTTGAAAATTCTTCCAAATCTTACAGTTCACAGATGAAAGACATTTGATAGTTATTTCCCGCTTCATCATAGTCCTAAGAATGTATATGAAATCACAAATAACAAATTGAGAAAATTGATGCAACTTTTCTAAACTAACAGTAACAAAATGACAGATTATAATCAATCATACTAGAGAAAAGACTGCATTATCTTATTATTCTCAACACAGAAAACGTAACAGAACTATGTCAAATGAGGAGGCAATCAGAGAATGAACAGCAGTTTATATAGAGCCAAAACTATACACCCAAAAAAATCACAGAAATGCGTCAAGCAATTTTCTAAAAATTAATTTTATAAGTTTTGTTATCCTTGCAGAATTTGTCAGCATTAATTTTATAATCTGTTGTGATTTATTTTTATGTTCTAAATAAATATTCAATCACTACATTCAATAGATTATTCCAGTGATGTGTCCATCTCTCTTAAAAGGGACTCCTAGAGCTGTGCAACACCTCAGGTGCCATAAAACCTGGACCCACTCCTTGTCAATTACCATATCTTCCCTGGGATATGAAGAGGCAACTTCCTTTATATTATGACTAAGTAATAAAATGGATATAAATCTATTAGCTGAACTACAAATTGTGATATTCAGCATTTCAAGGGACTGATTCTGTTGGATATCCAGAAATACAAATAGGCCAAATCCTATGAACAGCTAATCAACTGATAAAATAACACTGTATCTTTTTCTTGATTATACTAAAAATTTTAAATATCATATTCCTTATACAACATTTTGAATTTAATTTGCCTTTTAAGTGTTGGTTGTTTATGCATAGCTCTCCAAAAATACGTTTTTAAATATCTTTATATATAAAACCAAGTTTTAGTCCTTAACGTACGGCAAGTGTTTTGAAACTCACAAACATATAAGCTGGCAATGACATCGTGATAGGCTTTGTGCATTTCTTACCAAAAGTGATGAAGTTTGTAGACAATATATTTCACAAGTCTGTCATACTTGTTCAGCTCCATAATCTTTACTACAAAATGTACATAATCTGGCATATTCACAGCCTTCAAGTGGAAATGGAAGCTTTCATTAAGTTCAGCAAATTATACGACTCACACATGACAAAGGAGAGACCACAGAGCTGGTGTACAATTTTTGTTTAATAATTTATATGCGAATATTGGTAAACTGAAGCCAAATATAAAAAGAAAACATACCATCAATGAAATCTTCAGATAATAAAAATAAGACTGTTATTTTAAAATTGTAAATTTCAATACACTGAATTCTGTGTAATCCATGGTAATATTTCCTATCTTTCTTTATACATTATTCATACATACACATTTTAAATTTATTTTTAAAAATTAGAGATTTTCAAAGTTTTTTGTAAAAATTAAAAGTGATTAATAATTTTAAATATACCTATACCTGTTCAAATAAAATGTACCTATACCTGTTTAGTAAAATGTTCACGTTATGATACACTTTAAATAACTAAAATTCATCTTGAGCTGTATCTTCTACCACATCATTTACATGTGCAGGGGATAACTGCAGATAAGACTGAAGAAGGTTGAAGGCTGAAGGTTTACAGAGAAAAATGTTTTTGATATTTCCAATTGTGAAAACATTTTAAAGTATTCTGAAGAAAAAGGTAAAATTGTACATATGTGTTCAAATTTAAAACCCAATATTCTACAAATAAAGATCTGAATTAAAATTAACTTAGAAAGTAATTTTGTCTTATGAGATGGCTGAATGGAACTGTTAAACATATAACTTATTCATATGATTTTATTTTTATATATCTTTTCAGGAAAATGTGTATGTAAAATGAAGTAGAACTAAATTAGTGATTCTTAACCCAGAATCAGTACACTGTAATAGAAATATGAATGTGATTCCAGTGGTATACGTAACTCTAAATACAAATTCTCAATTCTCTGTGTGATTATATGTATATGTAGAGTTTCCATAAGAGCTCTGCTAGATCTACTTAGACTTTTGAGGATTACAGAACTTCTAATAGAATAAAATAAATAAACCATTTGGAAAATCAATTTCACTAAAAAAAAAAAAAAAAGAAATGAAGTTCTAATTGTGTTGGTAATGTCCCTGTCCCACCCACACATCACAAGATAGGGAGTAAAAGAAATTCCAAGAAGGATTTGTTAATTTCAAGGAACAAAGTGCTCAGAAGATATATTCACTGAACAATTCCCCAAGCACTCATGTGTTAGCAATTCGAAAATTCTAAAAATACTCTTCAGTAACAGCTCAGTAGTTCTTCAAAATATGAGATTGAAAAACAAGGCCTTTTTTCCAAGCCACACTCTTAGATGTGGTTAACATTTTCATTACACAATAACTTTAAAGAGTTTTTGAGCCTATGGATACCTTAGTAACCAAAACACTATGCATGTGAGCTTTTGCAGTCATTAAAGAATAAAGAGGATGATTAATTATCAATTTAAGGTTATGAAAACTATCTTGAATATAAATGACTAACCACAGTAACTGATAGGCCACATTTGGACCAACACTGACAGCAAGTTTCTTGTGAAGTCTGCTGGTCAAGTTATCAAATCAGAGGTGCAGCAAGACAAGAAAATTCTCAAAAATGTTTCTACAAGAAGACTCCTTGAAGTAATTTAGGCATCTAATCCCAAACAGAAAAGGTTTAATGGAAGAAATTATTGGTGTATTCACTTGTATTATCAAGACAAAAAAAGATTATTTCAATTATTTTGTATCTTTCTAGCAACATGCCTCACAGCAAAAGGGAAGAAGTGGCAGGGAAACAATTTAATATTAAAAAAAAAAACAAAAAACATTTTTCTAAAAATGAGTCCTAGGCAACAAGGAAAGAGCTTGTCTTACAAGTTGATGTTCTCTCATGAAAAGGCAATTTTAAGCATCAAGAATGTTCTGAGATGGATTTCTACACCGAGTGGGAAGTTGGATTCTTATATATAGGAAATCCCTGTCAGTACTTAAATTCTCTGATTCTACGATTTATTAAGAATAGCCACTTGCGACTACATAGGACACAACCTGAAAACAGGGCAGCTGCCTAAGAAACACCCTTGGTTATAAGTGAATGCCAAATGTAAGGTAAAGACACAGAGAGGTCATTAGAAAGGAAGTTGTATACAAAATACAAGATTTTACTGCCTTGGTGATTTTTTAACCACAGCCAAGTTACTTTCGTCTCTGAGAAGATAAGAGGAAGAGAATAAAGCTCTTCAAGGCAAACAGCATGATATAAATCCAAAGCATTTTCATACTTTGGGAACGTGCTTGCTTATAGAAGTGTGAGCCGGGGGAGGAATCTTAGGTGATAAGAAAAAGACGTCAGCAGGGCAGAGTGGTGAATGGCCTTCAAGATAAGGATAAGTAATTGAAATTGGTTAGGAAAGCAATAGGGAGCCAGAAGAAGGAATTGAAATGATGAGTAATGGGAAGCTAGATTAGAAAAGCTAGACCCATTAGCTTGGGAGGCAGGATTTTGAAATGATTAGAGATGGGAATGGCCAAAGGGGAGATGGTAGAATCCAGATAGGAAACCAAAAGACAAGGATGGATAGACCTATTCCTGAAACAGGAACAGTACCTTCATGAGGCCCCAGACAGGCAGTTTGTAAGAACAAAAATGGGGCCTTTACTGAAGCTTGGGCATTATAGAACACTAACCTAGGATGGCATGCCTACACGTCACTCTTGCTTGGTATCCATCAGGAAGTGTTTGTTGCATGAATGAAGAAAAAAACATAGTTCTGTTCTTAAGTAAAATAATCATTTAAAATCACCACTTTGGGAAACAACAATCAACAACTAGATTGTTAAAATGTGGACAGTTTATGAATTTTTTTTTTTTCTTAGCAACAACCCAATGTCCCTGTAGCATTTCTTCAGAACTGCTTAGATTTTTGTGTACAAGTAAAAGAAAAAGAGCATCAATTCTTAAGGTCTAAGCCTGAAAATAAAAATTCTTTACTTTGAATTTGTTTTCAATGTACAAAAGGTTTACATGAAAAATACAGGCAGGCTAATATTGCAAACAACATGTAATTTCAAAGAGGAAAAATATTCAGCACTTTCCCTCCCACTTTTAAAATTAGATTCAGCAACATGATTAACTTTTACCCACATGTTTTCAGAACTAAGATGAATAAATTAGAGGGTGGTTCAATTTAAAACACTTTTTCCTTTCAGTAAATCTAACGTTTATGGTAGTCAATAAAAGAATTGCTCTTTTAGTCACAGAAAAGCCTCAGAAGCTCTTCTAATTGTTGTATTCTGTTGACTGATGCAAATTATCTCTACAGGGAATTAATTTTAATAGTTCATAAAATGAGGAGGCTGAAGATGCAGAAATCAGTGCCTTGAGTTATCTTTGTATGTCTGCAAGGGCTAACTCTGAACTGCGCTGTATAGCCAGCAATGACAAGTATCCTGAATTGACTGAGGAACAATCTCAGAAAAAAATTCACTGGAATCTTAAAAGACTCAGCAGCCTTTAGCCAATATCCTTTTCTTAAGTGGGATTTAAGTGACACTTCCAAGTGTCTTATTGAAAAAAATAAGTAAACATAACTTTAAATGCCTAAGATTTTTGGTTAGTAATATCTACCATGTTTAACATTACAGTCGATTTTATTGTAGCAGCTTGATAAAAGATCAATACTTGTTTATTAATGTTGCAGTTTTTATAAAGTGCTATTTTTATACATTAGTTAATAAACTTTTATTTTATAAAAATAATGGTTAAAGAGAGCAAAACTTTTCAAATCTATGTACTGTTTCATTTTTTCTCAACTTCTAATACAGATATATAGATACTTTATGTCATATTTAGTGCCTGCTCAATAAATTGTTCATTTTTCTTTTCTTTAATACAGAATGAAAAAGTAATTTTATCTGGACCTTCCTTCCAAAATACTATTTGGCTGACAGAATGCTAGTCTTACATAGACAGGGAAGGTCCCGGGGAGTACTCCGGTCATTCAATATAAAAACTAATTTTCCATGGAAAATATTAATAATTATAATTGTTGAGTGTAATAATAATCCATATCTGATATTAAAAGAATAGTTGAGTTTTATGGAAATGGTTATTTCCTTTCCTTCCTTATGATAACTAATGGCCTAATTTCTAAAAGTATTTTTGGAGATGTACTAGGTTAGGGGTCAGAAAGAAATAAATAAAGATAGAATAAAAGAAGGAAGGAATCTAACCACATGGCATTTCTCAATGCCTCCTGGTTCCAAAATATAGCATCATTTGTAGCAAAAGATGTGAAGATTCCCCTCCAAGAATGAAAGACTAATTTTCCTAGGTTCCGCAAGTATTCTCAGCTGTCACCCCTCTTTGCAAAGTGCCTTAGCTAAAGACCACCACTTTGTTCCAGCATCTACCATCAAGTGACCAGGGATATAA